AGGCTTCTTACTCAGCCCTGGTTTCCATCTGGCTTGGAAGCAGGTCCTAATAATACAAAGACCATGGAACCATCAAACAAAGTAGAAAGGTATAAAAGGATCGCTTTTCTCTGTGAAAGGTTCCCCATTCAGCATGGGTGTCGTCAGTTACCCTGGACACCGCCCCACCTTGTCATCCTTTACAAAGGAAACCAGGGACCTGCTATGGCCAGCAGTGTGGCTCAGTGGAGACAGGCTACAGGAAAGAAACAGAATTGCCAAAGAATCCAAGGGGAAGACATGGGATATTGGAAAGAGTGGTGAGCAAAGAAACCAGTAACCCACTGTTAAATGTAAGTGATTTTATATATAGATTCCTCACCCAAGGATATGTTTATATTCATTTGAGAAAGAGAGAGAGAGAGAGAGAGAAACATCAATGTGAGAGTGAAACATCTATTGATTGGCTCCTGTACACGCCCCTACCGGGGATTGAACTGGCAACCTTTTGGTGTACAGGATAATGCTCCAATCAACTGAGCCACCAGGCCAGGGCAATGTAAGTGACTTGTTATTGTTGTTAACCCTCACCAGAAGAGTTTTTTCCCCACTGATTTTTAGAGAGAGTGGGAGGGAGGGAGGCGGAGAGAGAGAAACATTGATGTGAGAGACACATTGATTGGTTGCCTCACACACGTAGCACTACCAGGACCAGGGAACAAACCTGCAACCCAGATACGTGCCTTCAACTGGGAATCGAACCGACAACTCTTTGGTGTGTGGGCTGACACTCTATCACACACCAAAAGTGACTTTTGATTGTAGAAATAGTAATATGATTTCAGAATGAAAATAGCAGAAGACTTCAACAGAGGTGGGTTGTGTGTATGGGTAAATGAGGGTGTGGGTGTGCCTGTTTGTGCTTGAATAAGTCCCTTCTCTGCACATTTGCACTTTTATCAAAGTTCATGTAGGAATTATACAAGGGGAAGCTGCATGTCAACAGTATAGCACTGTACAAATATTGGACTTAACATTATCTGTCAGTAAGTTAGAAATGTGTGAGTTGCAGGCTGGACTTTCCCTTTTGAACAAGAGGAAGCCTTGGTAGCTTTGAGGAAGAAGCGGAATTTCAGGATCAGCTAGGAAAGGAGAAGCAATATCACTAGTGAGTGAGTGGGGCTTTGGAACACTCAAAAGATCTTTCCTCCTTTTCCCTCTCCTGCTACATATCCCCACTCAGGGTACAGGGGACCTTAAGTGATAGAGACCTTAGAGCTTATCTAGTCTTTTTTATAGAATGAGAAAAAACAGAGGCCCAAGGAGATCAAGCAGCTTGCCCAAGGTTACATAGCTGGCAGGTGGGCCTGATGGAAAAGGCAAAGTAGTAAACTCAGGAAGGTGCCGCCAAACCTAGAAACTGATCGTTCTTACTTTCACTGGTGCACTTGAGCTTGGGCTGTGTCCACCTCGTTGCCCCGCGTATCATTTCGCAGATGCTCTCGGCAGTACCTCTCTGTAGGGCCCTGAATCCCTGGGCACACTCGTAGTGAACTCTCTGGCCCACCACGAAATGATAAATTCTCCCTGAAGCTTCATGCTCCCATGGTGGAGGCTCCCTGCAATGGCCTGGAAGAGGGAAAGGTAATTCCAAAGGCAAGCTGGGGAAAGCAATGGGAGTAAACCCAAGGTTCCCCTTCCTAGAGACTGGACCTTGGTTCTTACTCTTTTGTTTACACATTCATTTGTTCATTGATTTTTCTTTCATTTAACCAATATGTATTGAGAACATCTGCATCAGGAACTTTGCTAAGTAGTTTGTGGAAAGGCACAAAGACCCGGTCACTCCTGTAGGAGGGGTAAGTCAATTGGGTAAGAAAGACCTGTGAAGGCAGAGTGTGCTGAGTATTATAGTTAAGGAACAGACAGTTGCTATGGGAACACAGGGGAATAAGTAATTAGTTCTGATGCTAATGAGGGTTTTGATAAGTGGACAGGAGAGGGAAGGGTGGTCTCAGCTGAGGGATAAGGGCAGGCTCAACCCAATTTGGGTCAGTGAAGACCAACCACCCTGTATCTCCACTGCTGACTGAGGAAGCTACATCCTTGGGTTGCAGCTAATGGTCACCTTAGGACCATGGCAGAAGGACTGTGGACAAAGCCAAAGCCCTGAGGAGAGAAGGGCTGAGAGAATCTCAGAGAATTGGAGCCTGATCTCTGATCAAGCCACACCTGGAGCTTGCCCTGTATGAGCCCTCTGAAAATTCCCCATGCCCAGTAACTTTCCACTCCCAAACTAAAATTCAAGCCTGACGGACCTTTAACTCCAAAGATCATGCCCTGCTCTGATTTAATCTCAGGGTCTTTCACCCCATACCCAATCTGGAAATATGGAACCACAGTTACCCTCTATTCCCCAGACACGTAAAGCTACACGTATTCTCTGACTTTCCAGACCTTCCACAACCTGAGTACCCAATATAACCTCTACAAATACTCTGTATAACCCTTTGCCCCAGCTGGAAGCTCAGTGGTTCTGTCCCGAGTGGTCTGCCCTAGTATACCACCTTGCAAATCATGACTGAACTTATAGTCTCAAAAAATTTCTTTTACAGCCAGTGAAATCCATAACTGTCTGAACCTGTTTTGTTTTTTTAAAAATAATTTTTCAAAACATTTTTATGTTTTTTTATTTCCTGAGAGCTTCAAATTTTTTCCCAATGATTTTTTTATTTTTATTTTATTTTTAATTTATCTTTATTGTTGAAAGTATTACAGATGTCCCCTTTTCCTCCCGATTGATCCCCTCCACCACGCATCCACCCCACCTCCAGGCCTTCCCCATACCAATGTCTGTGTCCATAGATTACGCATATAAGCATATAAATTCTTTGAATAATCTCTCCCCACCCACTCCCCCAACCTCGCCTTTCCTCTGAGATCCCTCAGTCTGTTCCATGCCTCTATGTCTCTGGATCTATTTTTCTGAACCTGTTTTTAACTGGGGTTGCTTCTTTTAAATGAAAACAGCCTAATTAAGACAATCTGTGAAATATCTCTTAGCCAGAACCAACTGGTTATCTCTTGAGTAAGGACCACAAACATTGACCTTTTGAGAAACCTTTCAATAATTGTGGAGGGTATCATGGGAGAAGAGAAAAACGACTGAATGTGTTTTGAAACACCATTCCAGTACAAAGCTGGCAGGGGGTAAATGGATAAAGACATCTTGTTGCAACAATGTCCCTGGATTAGTCTTTAAAATAATAATAATAATAATGAAAGCTGCAAATAAATTCAAACTAGTCCAAAGTAAGTAAATCAGTAGAAAGGTCCCTAGTCTAACTCAGGAGACCCAAGTTCTTATTCCTAAATTATGTGAGTTTAGCCAAGTCTTTTACCTTCTCAATGTCTCAATTTCTTCAGTAACTTGAAGTAATACTCCTGCTCCCTGACTCACTGGGTTGTTAGGTTCAAGTGAGATTATATACAATATGTTCAAGTTTTTTATAAGGTTATACAATCAGCATGGGACCATAGGGTTGTATAAGGTCACCTGGTCTGCCAAATCTCAGCCATTCCTAATGGGCTCTGTTTCTTCCTGACATTATGACTTGACTTCAATCAACATCATTCATGGTGGAAAGTTGCAGCAACAACTGGGTAGTTATGGTGCTCACTCACCCACAGCCCATTAGCTAGGAGGTATTTATCTGCAGCTTCAAGACTCACCAGTATGACTCAGCACATTTTACACACACATGCACACATCGTAAGAAACATCTTGAAGTAAATTGCTTTGCTGGCAGTTTATTACCTTCTACTTAGGGGGAAAACATAGTATTTCTTTTAGAGCAGGGACTAGTGTCTGCTCATGTTTGTATCTTCTATTGGCAGTGCCTGGCACTTTTAGTCCCAATACATGCTTTTTAAATTGAATTGAACTGAATTCTATTCAGGCAGCTCTCAAACCTAGAAGAAACTCGGAGCCCAGGTTGGCTTCTGTGAGAGTGACTTGAAATGCTGAGCCAAGAGCTTGAAAATGCTATACAGTTGCGCTTGTTGACATGATATCCTTAGAGGAGAGGAGAGTGGGACAGACTTTCCTTTTTGGGGGAGCACATCATATACCCACAAGAGAAGAGTTGACTCCAAGTACTAAGACAACAGTTGTTCAGCTTCGCCTCTTACCTAGAAGGTTAACTTGGTCTGTGGGATGCATTTGGTTTTGCATTTCTGTGGTTTTTCTTTCCTTCTGTTCTTCAGGTTTAGGAGTTGCTTGTTTGTCTGTGCCCCTGGGGGCTAGAGAATATGAATGGAATGAAGCAAATAACTTCACAAATGCTTATGATAGTAAACATTCTACATGTATTCATTTACTCAGAAATAGTATCTTTCTACTGCTTGCAGCTTGTCAGGAAATATCAAGGTGCTGGGGTAACAAAGATGAGCCACACACGAGCCCTGCCCTTGGGGTACTTTCAGTGGGCCCTGCTCACGTCAAGCCCAGGACAGCACTGGCCTGTCAGTACTCATGTGTGTAATGACAATGGCCTTCAGCATGTTTCTGAAAGTACTGAAAGATTTTCCAGTGGAATTTTTTGTGTATTTGGGAATTCCCCAGAGGGACTCCAAGCTGGCCATCAACCCTGCCAACATGGTGCATGGGTATGTGTGTGATGGCAACAGGAAGTGATCTGACTCAACAGCCCACTGACTCTTTTGTTTCCCTGAAGCAGTTTATTTAAAAGCTAGAGAGATGCAATCTTAAAGTAATGAAAACTAAACCTCTCTACAACCCTCCTCTCTACTGTAAAGAGTTTGGCAAAGGACTTGAGTAAGGGCACTAAAATGAGGGGGAATTGGGATTCTAACTTAGGGTCAGAGAGGGGATCTTCTGGGGGAAAAAAGACTGTGGGGAACTTCAATAGAGCAGCGATCTCTCAATTTTGCAGTCCATACATGGTTTGGGAAGGACAAAAGGCACTGCAGCCACCAACACCATCTTCAGGATTAAGAAATAAAAAGACACATGAACCCATTACTATTTGTCACATTCTAAATACCACAGACTGGATAAAAGACCCTGTAGGGAAGTTGGACTAATAAGAGAACTTTCAGGATTCAAAGAAGAAAATTAAATGGCAAAATCATGGTCAGATCAACTTAGGTTTAGAAAGCATCTTGGGGGTCATTTCCTTCATTGCCATTCCAGGGAGGTGATCTGCCTACAATATCTGGGCAAAAAGCTTTGCCATCTCTTCTTGCCCTCCCCAGCAGCCATGAACTTGGGGACTCTTAGTCCACCAAATGATTCCAATCATGTCCAGCATTGAGAGCCATAAGTTTTCAAGCCATGTTGTGAAATTCAGGCATAAAGAAATTCTAAGTGAACAAGTTCCTCTGCGTCTCTGCTTCCCTCCTGTTGAATTGGGGCCTCATCCCCAACACCAGTCTGACCTGCCTTAGGGCTTGTTATTCTGACCCCAGCAAGGGGATGTGGGGTCTTTGGGGACTATTCCTCATGTTCTGGAAAGCCAGTTCCTGACACTGGGCTGGGAAGGCCCTAGACTGATAATATATTTCACCTCTAAAGAAATCCCCCAAAGGCTCCATGGCACCCAGAGTGAAAAATGCCAGTAAAATATAAGACTAGAATTCAGTAGCATGAGCTTCTATTTCCTTGTTACCCTTGTCAGGGAAGGAAGTGCCTCTCTCAATGCTCCTGTTTTTGTGCCTAGAACATTTTCCTTAGGGTGGCAGAGGTGGTCACTGAAAGGGAGAGGAGGGAAGAGGGGTCATAGGGCATTCTTAGGAATTCACATTGCTGTGTTTCTGGAGGTGGGGCTAGGATAAGTATATTTCATCAATTAAGATATTGGTGGTAAGCCCGGCAGGGCATGGCTCAGCAGTTGAGCGTCGACCTAGGATCCAGGTGATCAGGGTTCCATTCCTGGTCAGGGCACATGCCCAGGTTGCGGGCTCATAGCCGATCAATGACTTTCTCATCATTGATGTTTCTATCCCTCTCTCTCCCTCTCCCTTCCTCTCTCTGAGGCCAATAAAGATATATTTTTTAACAAAAGATATTGGTGGTATGAAGTACAAGCTTTGGAAACTAGAATAAAAACGAGTTAGTTCAGCCCTACAGGTAGATATTTCCCACTAGAATTGTTTATTTTTTATAGTCTTCATATAGGCTCATTCAGACGACTTTTTTTTTTATTTCTTAAAAATGTGATAAAATAGACATAACATAAAATTTACCACATCAGTCATTTTAAGTGTATAGTTCAGTGGCATTCAGTACATTCACACTGTTGTGAACTAGAATTATTTTTAATTGTTCAGTAATTATTAGTATAATGTCGGTTTCCCCCCTGCCCCTGAAATATAAATTTCTTGAGTGCTAGGTATCCTATCTGCCTAGACCAGTCCTTGGGACTAGAAGACACTCCTTAAATATTTGTTTAGCAAATGAATATTCCAGAAACCAATAAAATTAGTTACCATATAGTTTAGACTGGCCAATTTTTTCTATGGGGCTGAGTGAACAAAAGCTGAAGCTCTGTTTCACTCTTTGCTATACTTCTTCTCTTCCCCTTGGTAGTTATAAAAGGAAACACTTACAAGTCCTCACGCACTGACACTGGTTTTCCCAGGAAGAGTGGCCAGCAGCTCCCGTACAATTCATAAAGGCCGACTGGTTGATTTTTCTGCGGAAGCCTTTCTTGCATTCACAGTTTAACAGTGTGCCTGTTTTGTACGTGAGGGCTTTGAATGTGGCGTGTCTGACATCTGGCGGGGAGACGCAAAACTCTGTGAAGGAAAAGAATCATATTAGGAGTTCAGGAGGGCCCAGTCAAATGTTCCCACATTTAATCATGTAGGGATTTAATCACACATTTCTTCGTTTTATTTAAAGGATTTATATATACCCCACTTTTTCCGAGAAAGAAACAAAGGCTATTGCCACTGTTCTTTAGAGACCTTCGTATGAGAAACAGTTCAAAATTTAATTTCAACCAAATTTCTCTTCAAATTATAATATATTTCAAAGTAAGTGAATAGAAATGAATGAGGTTTTATTCTGCATATGCCTCATGTTGAGCAAGTAGAGAAAGGAAGACCAACGGATATAAGGAAAAGAGAGAAAAGCAATGCATATTTACTTAAGGGACAAAATGTGTGTGAGAAATAAGAACTTTTCAGGAAATAAGGATTGTCCAACTTTCTGTAATTAATGATTCTGTACCATTAAAAAAAAAATAGAGCCCGGCCAGGCGTGGCTCAGCAGTTGAGCCTCGACCTAGGATCCACGCGATCAGGGTTCGATTCCATGTCAGGGCACATGTCCAGGTTGTAGGCTCGATCCCTAGTTAGGGGCATTCAGGAGGCAGCCAATCAATGACTCTCTCATCATTGATGTTTCTCTCTCTCCCTCTCCTTTCCTCTCTCTGAAATCAATAAAGATATATT